AGATTAAAATAAAAAAATTTTTAGCAGATTTAATTAAATAGTTGTTGAGTTATTTAAATTTAAAAATTAAAAAATTTTTACTAAAAATAATTTGTCACTTTTCTATTAACTTCTTTTTATATTTTATTTAAACTTTTGTTTAACATCTTTATTAATTATAGCATATAGCATAATTTTGATATTATTATTATATTGTTTATATATGTAATCTGGTTTATTGTTATTTTTTTGTACTTCAGATTTCTTATAGTTTAAATTATTATTTTTTTTATCTTTTTCTTTATTTGTATTTTTCTATTCTATTGCTTAATCATATTTTTAATAAGTAAACTATCTTATGTTTTGGTTTTTTTATTATTTTATTTTTTTTATATATTACTGCTTTTTCTTCTTTTCTAATCTTTGTGTTTATTATTATTAGCTTTGATTTGAACTTATTTATCTCTATATTATTTAATTTAAAAAACTTTTTAGCTATTTTTAAATCTTTAATAGTTGTCTTTTACTACTTGTAATCTATGTTGTGTCATCTGTATATGCAATTGCTACTTAACAATATTTTGTAATGTTGTATTATATATCATTTTGATCTTGCTGCTTAACTATATATTCTAAATTTTTATTTTCTTAATCTCTTTTTAGTAGTAGATTATAAAAAAGGTGCTATATAAATAATGAAATTATAGATGTTTTTTTTTTTTTGCTTTCACTAAGGCCATTAGTTATGGCAGCTACTGCCTTTATTGTGAATTCAATTATGATTACATAACTTGTACAAGGTTACCCCTATACTATACTAGTAGATAGCAGTACAAGCTCCCGTATATCTAATTAGATGCTGTCTAACCTAACCATGACCTCTCTGTCTGTACATCTGTTAGGCCATTACACATTTCAGAGTACGTTACCTGACTATAGGACTCCAGAGGGCCCTTCTGCTAACTAACTACCTACATTTAATCTTTTGCTAACAGAGCTCACCCTTGTAAAGTTTACTCAAACCCCAGTACTGACTTTACAGCATATCCTTAGTACTTATAGTATATTCTGTTTCTGAAACCCAACTCCCAATCCAGATAGTCTAGTAGGACTGTAACCTGTTTCTGGTACTCCAGGGTCTGCCTTCTAAGATCCTTTTTCTCTGGTTCGAGACTTCCAGTAGTCTGATTGGTAGTACCTCTCATCTGAGATTCTTGCCCACCTAATTTCTTCTACATTGGTATCTATTTTCTAGGTCTAGCCTTTATAGTAGTACTGTCAAAGATCTGTGTTACCTCTTTACTCAGGTCTTCCCAAGTGGGCTCCAGTTTTAACAGTTTACAGATTTACCTAGCCACAAGAACTTATCTTGTGTTTGCATCGTCCAATACCAGTTTGCATTCCTTTGTATAACTCCAACATTGCACAGATGCTTCATGACCTGCCAGTTATCTGGTGTAACTGTATTACAGATACAAATTCCAACTGATCAACAGATTGCTATTGCTATAGTATTGAACACAAAGACTTATTTTGGATTTGCACTGCCCAATGCCAGTTTGCATTCTTCTGAGTAACTTAAACATTGCACAGATGCCTGTAGTACTGATATATATAAGTGGTTTTCCAAATTTTTGCTATTGGTGAGTTTTGAACTCCCAACCTACCACTTGGGAGGTTGACAACTTATCTACTTCACTAAGTTACTACACTCCCAAATTATAGATATTAATTTTAGTATTATAAAATGAATTATTACTATTTTATTATCATTAGTTATTATAGTAATACTTCTCTAAGTGCATTTTCTCTAAATGCACACTCTCTATAAGTGCATACTCAAGCATGATCCCAAGTATGAAACTTAGTACTAAAGGCATACCTCTATGTTTTGCACATGTATAAGATTTGTAATCTCAGACTTATATATTTACTTTTTGCAAATGCATGAATGTGATCAAATTAAACATTCAGCCAATCAAATTCAAGATACTATCAAATAATTAAATTCACCTTTTTTAAGTCTTTTTTTCATCATAGAAGTTTATTTTTCTGCAATAAAATAAGTGTTATGTTGTTACTTTTTTGAACCTATATTTTAATCATAGTGTTAGTATTCAAGTCATAAATCAGAACAAGAAGAAACTGCTATAAGTAATTTAACATGACTAGGTAAAATTTTACTTGATATGCTTAATCACTAAATTTAATTCTCACATTAGGCATATGTAAATAAAACTACAAACTTATTTTATTAAAGATTTATATTATATATAAGCAATCTAAGAATTTATTTTTCATGTTCCATGTTTAATGTAGTTAGCTTTTTTTTTGAATAATAAAGATTATTAAAAATATGTATTGATACTTAATCCAATTATAATTTTTTTGTTAATTTATATTTTGGTTAGATTTTACAATATCTTTGATTATATTTTATTTATAGTAAAACTACTATAAGTATATGCTCTTGGGACCAAACTTTATCAACATGCATTTATAAAATCTATATATATATTTGGCAGAAATTTAAGTGTGCATTTAAAGAATGTATGCACTTCTAAAGAATGCATTTATAGATATTTTATTGTATATTACTTTTTTTTTTAAAAAAAAAAAGTGTAGCCTAATATTCATGATAATAGAATATATAAAATAATCATTTATATTATTTATTTATTGTTCTATAAAATAATTATTAATTTTACTTTGTTGTAACTGACTTATTTTTCTTTTTTTAAGAAATTGCTCAACTTTTCTTATAGCTTTAATATACTTATTTGTTTTATCTTATTGAAGTAGAAACATAAAAATAGTTTCTAAACTCACAATTGCTATATTAATACTAATTAAAAAAATTTCAACACTATCTTCTTCTTTTGAATTATCACTAGCTAAATTGACAGGTTTGAATCTTTTTACAAGTTCTTCAATAACTTGATCATTCTTAAAAACTTTGTAAATAACATCTTCTTCAGAAATAGAAAGAAATTCTTCAACTGACATAAGGTTAGCAAGATAAATATAGAAATCTTTAAGTGCATTAGTAATGTCTTCAAGTACTAGGTCTAGGGTCTGATGAATATTATCTGAGAGGCTATATAATTTGGCATTAGTATTAACAAAAAGAATATTTGTATGATACTAGCAGTTACAAATTGTTTCAGCAATAACTTCTTTTTAGTCTTGAATAATGAAACATACTGCTTGCAGTACATCAATTTTTAGCTCATCTGTACAAGCACCATTTTCCACTTTCTCTAATATCTAGCTTAAAAAAAAAAAAAAAAAAAAAATTATATATAAAACCTACTGATAAAAAAATTTTAGAATCTTACTAAATATGAAAATAATAATAATCTCTTTTGAAACTTATTATAATTCTGGCATCCATTAGCTAGATTCTAGAGGTTGTTTTTGAAGGTAAAAAAATGACTTTGGTAAATTGTAAGATAATGTCATCTAAACAATAGCTTGTATAATTATTAAGAACTAGCAATACATGTTGACACTGAAATTTTAAACTGACTTAATGATCAAATTTTTGAAGCTATTCTTGAAAGATAAAAGTAATTATCTAGGCTTAAACACTATTTTTATATTTAACAGCTAAGTTTTTTATATTAATATTTTTAAAACAACATAGTTTTGTATATTTTTTGATTACTAAAATGACAAATTTATGAGACCCAACAGCATTTGCATATAATGTAATTAAAAGGTGTTCTCTGTTCACTTTACACTTAGAAAGATGTTGAGTTGCTAATGATTAGTCAGGTTCTAATCTATAAAGTTTTATAATCTTATTAAAAAATTGAAAATTTACTTAAATCCTTTCTACTTACAATATCAATACATTTATATTTATAAAAAAGCTTTGTCTTATTTATATTATAAATTCTCTCAATAAGATAGTTTAAGCACTTGTTTTTTAGTGATAATAAGTTGCTAGTAATGACTTCTTTATCAGCAGATGCAGCCTTTTCTTTGAGCTTATATTAACAAATATTGTTTCATTTCTTAAATTTATTAAGCCAACTATGAGAAAAGTGCAATGCATCTTAAAAAATTTTTAAACTATTGGCAAGTATTTTGGCTTTTTCAATGAATATTGCATTACTTAAAATTGTTTTATGTTGATAAATTAATACAAACTCTTTAAGGGCATGGTCAAGTTCTGGATATGTTACTGCTCTATGATATTTAGTATTAGAATTAATAATTTCAGAGTTAAGTCATTCTTCTGTTATTTTTAAAATACATGAAATTGTACTTTTATTGACACTAACATCCCATTTTTTTTCTATTCAATTGACATATTGTAACTAAATCATTTTATTATTATAGGCATATATATATAGTTCATGTTTTTGTACGTCAGTGAGGGTATTTCTTTTAGGCATCTTTATATATTTATAACTTAAAAATTATTTTTTATTTTTTGTTTTAAAGACAAGATGATTCTTTTATACAAAAACATTATTATGAGATTTAATGATATGGGTGATGCTAAGAGAAAACCTGTAAATTAATTAATGTACTTTCATTTTATCAGACTCAGTCTTAAAGAATCTGATTCTGCTTGATTAGCTTTAGTAATTTCAGTAACTATTTTATACATATATATGCTATAATGATAAGACTTTACTAAAGCAATAGTGTTATTATCTAATTAAACTTCATTATTGTAAGATTAATTTTAAGGACCAGTCTGTTAAGATAAAAATTCATGAATCAATTTACAGGTTTTCTTTTAGTATTATCTATATATAACCAAAATCAGGACTCTATAAATGTTAAGCATAGTCACAAAATTATATTTTAGTAGAACTGTGTCTTAAAGGTATTACTTGAATTGTTAGTTTTATTAAAAAATAAAAAATAAAAAAATTTATAGTGATAGCTTAAATCACAATTTGAATTATGCTAAAACTTGAACCATGGGCTTAGTTTTTTATTAATATATATTTAAACCAGTTTTAGCATAAAGTGAAATTAATTAGGCTTAATTTGTGTCTTAACCATAGTTCAATACTATATTTTTAACTTGAATCTAGTTTACTTCAAGCTGTAATTTATACTCAGATATGAACAAATTTTATCTTATAGTTTAATTTTTTATTTATTTAAAATAAAAACATTTGTCATTTAAATTTGTTAGCATATTAATAAACTTTTTTGTTTTATAAATATTAATTATTTTTATTAATGAGATAATTTGTATGAACCTATTATTCCAAAGAATATTCTAGTAATAATCAGTATACAAAATCTATTCAATAGTTAATCAAAATAATAGTCAATGAGTTAAAAAGTATTTTGAAGCCTTACAATATATAAAGTATTAGACAAACCTGTGTTTAATATAACTTTAGAATGAATAAAATTAATTATTCTAGTTATAAATATTAATAACAACTTATTTATATTCTATTTAAAAAGTTATATTAAACTGACTTAAAAATAAGTGCAATTAAACTAGAACTAGTAATAAATAAACTGTTATCGATAGTTATGAAATTTTGAAAAGACAATACAAAAAAAAAAAGTTTAGATAAAAAATTTGTTAACCACAATTCTATACTTACTAGCTATTGAAATCAGGCATTACAGTGAGTTAGTTACTCTATAATCCAAAATCTCATGTAACCTATAGTTAGCTTAGTCGAAAAAAGGCATTTAGATTTGGTTAGTGGTTTGGGTCCATAGGTGAGTATTTCCTCTTTACTTTTCTTGTGTTTTCCTTATTTTGAGCTGTCTACTAACTTTAACTCTCAATTACCTTACTACTTCAGATAATTGGACAATACATATAACCTCAACTATCACACTTCTTCAGATAGTTGGAACAATACAACTACAGCTGATCCTGGTACTTTAGGATACAACAGCCAGATAGAGGTTTAACAATATTATGGGTTAGAAAGATAAATTGCAAGAAGCAGGGTTTTATGATCTGTGATTTAGCAAATAGTTAATGTATGAAGAGTAGGATGTAATATTTTAAATTTATATATAAACTTGATGGTATATTTTTTTTGTAATCTTAATTACAAAATTTTTATTAATTAAATATTTTTTGAGCTTATAAATAAAGTTGTAGAGTAGGTTCTTGTGATTCTAGCAATAATAAAATCATTAAAATTGGTTTAAAACTCATTGAAATATGAATTTTTAAAGATTAAATATAAAAATTTATTATTAAAACTCTCTTATAGGTTTTTGGAAATTAGCCAATTAAAGTTGACTCTTTTGTGTAACCATGAAAAAACATAGAGTGTTCAGAGAAAATTCAAGATATATATATACAAATATAATTTTTTTAAATTAAACATCTTATAAAATTTTAAAATAATAAATAACTTATTTAAATCTATATATTATTGAATTTTAATAAAAATTAATTAAAAAATAAAAAACTTTTATTAGTAATATATTTTAATTTACTATATAAAAATCTATTATATCATCTAGGTCATATGAAAAATAATCTATGTACATCCTACTCTTAAAGGAAATATTTATGTATTTCTCATAATATAAGGGCTAGTTATTATTTTAATAAAGCAAAATATGGGTTCTTCCCTTTTCTATAGTCTTTACAGCCTTTATTTATCTTAAAATTCTTTATTTACATTTGTTATTCTACATCTGCTACAACTACTAAGTCTACTATGTCTACTATTTCATTTCCAACTTATACTTATCTGACATGGCCTTCATGTCCTACATAGCTGTAGTAGCCTACATAGCCAAAATAGCCTAAGTAGGCCGAGTTACTCTAATTTGGAGTAGCCATAGTTATGTGCCATGTAACTTCTCCAGATAACACTATATTTTACAAATCACTAATTAAAATTTATGCATATTCTTAACATATTTTAACTTGGAATATTATTCTATTTATTCAAATTTAGTTTGCTTCAAAATAGTGTTTAAAATACATAAATTAACTTATAATCAGACTTCTATAATTATACTCTATTAGGACCATAGAACAATTTTTTTAAAAATAGTTATTTAAGAAAGGTATGCATTTATAAAGGGCATTTTTACTATTCTTCTATATATTTGAAACTATGCTAAAGCATTTATTTAAAGAGAATTTATATGATATATGCTTTTATAGATAGTGAAATTATAGAGGTTCAGCTATATATAAACAAGAAAATTTCTATTAATTAGATACTTGAGAACATCTCTAAGTTAATAAGTAGTGGCATAAAACAAGTAAATTAGTTATAACTATGTATTTCACAAAAGATTATAATATTGTCATACAAATTGCATCTTATAACCTTATATCTCATATAAATTAAATTTAATTGGGCTTAGATGAGGTCATCTTATACTTTGAGCAAAGCAGAGATCTGCAGATTTTGTAATTTGCTGCGACTAAAGCAAATTACAAAAATTTGTAGTTTATCATGATTTGCTATAATTAAAGCAAATCACTGAAAGCAGATAGTTTTAATATGATTTGTTCATATTTGTTTAGTGATGCAAAAGTATAAATAATTTAATAAAATAAAAATATATAATAAATAATATTACATTCAAAAAACTTACTAAATCTAAACTCTGGTTACTCTCATATTATAACAATGAAATTATTATTGGGAAAATACGAAAATATTTTCCATCATCTAACCACTACTCCATTACTCATTGGACCTCTAATATAGACTTAAACTACACAAGATTTTACCCTTTACCTCCTGTTAGCTACAAACAATGTACAGGATGCCATCTTAATTCTCATAGAATTAACAAAATCTGTACTGTTGAAGTTTCTGCAATTATTTCTGCACAATTTCTTGGCAGAACTAACTCAAAGCACCAACTTAACCTTAATGCTAAT